TTTTTTTTTTGAGACGGAGTTTCACTCGTTACCCAGGCTGGAGTGCAATGGCGCGATCTCGGCTCACCGCAACCTCCGCCTCCTGGGTTCAGGCAATTCTCCTGCCCCAGCCTCCTGAGTCGCTGGGATTACAGGCACGCGCCACCATGCCCAGCTAATTTTTTGTATTTTTAGTAGAGACGGGGTTTCACCATGTTGACCAGGATGGTCTCGATCTCTTGACCTCGTGATCCACCCGCCTCGGCCTCCCAAAGTGCTGGGATTACAGGCTTGAGCCACCGCGCCCGGCCCTGTTGATTTACTTTATGTCTTTTGTCTGTATTCACAAATGGTAATGATTTTTAAAATGATTTTTAAACTTAATATGTATTGTGAGAATTGATATCAAATAATCATTGAAAAAAATATATCTGTCTATATATTTTTTGAGACAGAGTTTCATTGTTGTTGCCCAGGCTGGAGGGCAGTGGTATGATCTTAGCTCACTGCAACCTCCACCTCCCGGGTTCAAGTAATACTCCTGCCTCAGTCTCTGGAGTAGCTAGGATTACAGGCACCTGCCACCACGGCTGGCTAATTTAAAAAATTTTTTTTTAAGATGGGGTTTCACCATGTTGGTCAGGCTGGTCTTGAACTCCCGACCTCAGGTGATCCTCCCGCCTTGGCCTCCCAAAGCGCTTGGCTTACAGGCATAAGCCATCACGCCTGGCCCATTAAAAATCTTTTTAATGGCAGCATAATATACTAAAGTTTATTTACCGCTGGGCATTTTTCATTACTGCAAGTGATACATTATGATGAGCATCTTTGTTCATAAGTCTGCTTAGTCAGTTTTAGTCAATTTTAGAATTCAAGTCTCCCTGGCAAGAATTAGCATTTATATTTATGCAGGATAGGGCATTCACATTCATTTTATTTTAAAAATAGCACTCTTTATGTGCATTGCCTGAGGGATAGGGTGACTAGATGTCCCACTTCTGGAAGATGCTTTCTGCTTTTTTATTTTTTATTTATTTATTTTTTTTAAAAGATGGGGTTTCACCATGATGGCCAGGCTGGTCTTGAACTCCTGACCTCAGGTGATACACCCACCTCAGCCTCCCAAAGTGCTAGGATTACAGGCGTGAGCCACCGCACCCGGCTGCTTTCTGCTTTTTAATACCTTTATTTTGCTTTGAGAAATCTTCTTGACTAGAAACATATAAATTCATTTATAAAATTTAACCTTTTAGAAATCGAAACTACTTCTTTTTCTGACCATTGTCATTATTGTTGCTTTTATTCACTCTGTTTCTTGATGTTGCATGAATCTGTGCCAGAGAGAATAATTCAACTAGAAATCATTTAAAAAGAGAAAAAACATAAAGCTTCTGAATTAGTATACTTGATATAATTTTAGTTTGAAAATTACCTGATAATATGTTATCAGGACATTGTAGACATGTCCTCCTAATTAGAACAAATTAACATTGTCTGGAAGAGGCCTTAAGCATCAACTACTTGCTTTGTAAAACAGTTGGAATGGAGCAAAATATTCCCAATGCTGAAGGAGAGCGCCCTGGAATGGAATCTTTATAGCAGTCAGAAGGTGTTTTGGGATTAGTGAGGCCTTCAGGTCATTGCTGTATGTAGCAGCCCTTCCAAAGGACTAGGCTTATAGTGGTAGCCACAAACCTGGACCAGGGTTCACTGTGTGGAGCCTTAGACACTAAAGCCATAGAAAACTGAGTTGAAGCCTTAGCAGCCTTGGAAGTTTCTTTGCTTTTCTTCCTCCAGTAAAGCCTTGTTTTCTGTTGTTGTTTTTTTACCTTATACAGTTGTTACTTGTTTTCTTCTAAAATCTGTGGCTCAGTCAAGTGTGTGGTTCCATGGCAGTTAATTATCAAATCATAGTGATTAATATTTAATGAGACTTTACTGTGGGACAGACAGTATTCTGAGGGCTTTGTTGTAACTATTTCGCTTCTTGGCTTCTAACCCTCCCAGGGTTCTGAAAGCGAGGCAGTACATCCTAGAAATCAAGGGCTTGGAATCCACACCTAGATGTTGGATCTTGGTTTGAGTCCTGGTTTCGCTATTCACTTTCTCTGTGTCCTTGAGCAAGCCACTTAACCTCTTTATGCTTCAATTTCCTTATCTTTATAATGGTGATAATAAAACCTACTTTATGTGGTTTTAATGATGACTAAATTATAATATATTAAAAAATGCTTAGAATAGTGACTGATATTTAGTAAATTCTTACAAGTATTAGTTATTATTATCCTTGCTGTTATAGCTGTCATTCTTCTTTCCCTGTCTGCTTCGTTGTCTTCATAAGCTCACTTACCTCCTATTGCAACTTAGATACTGATGTTCCTGGGCTCTGTTCTTGACCTACACTCCTCTCATTGCGGCCTGATCCATTCCTGAAGAGTGAGGTGCCAGCCTTGTGCTGATGACTTCCAAACCTCTGTTTCCAGTCTACTTGCTCTCCCAACAAACCTAGATCCCTATAGACAATTGCCTTATGGACATCTTCACAAGCATCCCAAACCCAGCATATTCAAAATCGATTGTCACCTCCTCTCTCCCTCCTCCTTCATAATATTCTAGCTGATTTAATTTCTCTGTGTCTTAGTTTCTTCATCTGTATGATGGAATGGTAATACCTATTTCATAGGGTTGTTATGAGGATTAAATGAGATAGTTCATGGGAAGCACTTAGAATAATGCCTGGCCCGTATTTAAGAAATGTTAGCTACTATAATTTCTTTTCCCTGTCTGGTGAATGATACCATTATCCCTCCAGTAACCCAAACCCCCAAACTTAGGAACCATCTTGATTTACTTTCCCCCTCCGCACCCTTGCACCTCACCTAATCTGTTATCATTTCCTAGCACTGTTGCTGCTTTGTATGGGGCCCTTATCTTTTTTTTTGTCTTTTCTTTATTTCTTGAGACAGGGTCTTGCTCTGTCACTCAGGCTGGAGTGCAGCGTCATGATAGCTCACTGCAGTCTCGACCTGGTGAGCTAAGTAATCCTTCTGCCTCAGTCCCCCAAGTAGCTGAGACTATAGTAGCTGCATGCTACCACACCCAGCTAATTTTTTGTTTTTTGGAAACATGGTCTGGTCTTGAACTGGCTGGTCTTGAACTCCTGGGCTCTAGTGATCCTCCCACCTTGACCTCCCAAAGTGCTGAGATTACAGGTGTGAGCCACCATGCTCGTCTTGGTCCCTTGTTCTTTTCTGGTTCCTGAAACAGCTTCCTAAGCAATCTTTGGTCTTACTTTCTATAATTTGTTTTTCATTCTGTTACTAGTGACATCTTTGTAATGCACATATCTGATCAAGTCACTATCTGGTTGAAATTCGTTGATGATTCCCCATAGGATTTCGTCCTGAGAGTAAATTTGTTAGTGTAATGCTTCCTCAACTTTGGTGTCCATCTGAATTACTAGGAATCTTATTAAAGAGAAGATTCTGACTCAGTAGTTCTGTGACTGGGCATGAGATTCTGCATTTCTAACAACTCCCAGGTGATGTCTGTGTTGCTGAATTGAGAACCACACCTTGAGCAGTGAGGCTGTAATACATAGGCTCTTCATGACCTGCCTTCGCCCTGGGCCTGCCTCATCTCTCATGTTTCACTCCTGGCATTCAGTTTTTACTTTAAGTCAGGAGCTTGCCAACTTTGCCTTCTTGTCATTTGCAGCATTCCCCTTCTTGGCTTACTTTTCATTCATGAATCAGTTCTTCCAGACCCCAGTGTGGCTAAGATGTTCCTTCTGTGTGTTCCTATCGCCCTTTCAGTTTACTTCTGTCCTAACCCTTATTGCACTGCATTGCAGTTGTCTGTCTCCCCTTTGCTTCTCTGAGCTCCTGAAACACAGGGAAAATATCTCATTTGTTTTGTTTGAATGACAACTTTTTTGAGATATAATTCATATACCATACAATTCATTGTATAAAGTGTATAATTCAGTGGTTCACATTTATTTTTTGACTCATCATCTAGACCAGTGTTTGGTATGTAGTAAGTACCAAGTTAGTGATTGAATGTATGAATGAATGGAATTACAGTAAATTATCATTGGAAAGTTTTGTCCAGATCTTCTTTGTATCTGTGTTTTCTGGATTTAACAAATCAAATCATTCAGATTATCTTATTTATCAGTAACTTTTCATGAGCTTTATCTCTTTCACTGCCCCCTCTCTTTGGCACTTGGGATGGGAACCACTTTATTCTTCTCTTGGCCAGTTTTAATATGTCATTATAAATGACTTTCCTTAGTCTGCAGTGCTTCCAATTGTCCTCTCTCTTTTTTTTTTAAGATGGAGTTTTGCTCTTGTTGCCCAGGCTGGAGTGCAATGGCATGATCTCGGCTTACTGCAACCTCTGCCTCCTGGCTTCAAGCAATTCTCCTATCTCAGCCTCCCGAGTAACTGGGATTACAGGCATGCTCAACCGTGCCCGGCTAATTTTGTATTTTTAGGATAGATGGGGTTTCGCCATGTTGTCTCGGCTGGTCTTGAACTCCTGACCCACCTCAGGTGATCTGTTTGCCTTGGCCTTCCAAAGTGCTAGGATTACAGTTGTGAGCCAAGAGTGCAGTGGCGTGATCTTGGCTCACTGCAACTTCCGCCTACTGGGTTTAAGCAATTCTCTGCCTCAGCCTCCCGAGTAGCTGGGATTACAGGCATGTGCCACCACACCTGGCTAATTTTTTGTATTTTAAGTAGAGACGGGGTTTTACCATCTTGGCCAGGATGGTCTTGAACTCCTGACCTTGTGATCCACACACCTCAGCCTCCCAAAGTGCTGGGATTACAGGCGTGAGCCACCGAGCCCAGCCTTTTCTTTTGAGACAGAGTCTGACTCTGTCACTAGGCCAGAGGGCAGTGGCATGATCTCAGCTCACTGCAACCTCTGCCTCCTGGGTTCAAGCCATTCTCCTGTCTTAGCCTCCTGAATAGCTGGGGACTGCAGGCATGTGCCACCACGCCTGGCTAATTTTCGTATTTTTAGTAGAGATGGGGTTTCACCATGTTGGCCGAGATGATCTTGATCTACTGATCTCATGATTCATCTGCCTCCACCTTCCAAAGTGCTGGGATTACAGGCGTAAACCACCTTGCTCAGCCCTTTTTGATATTTTTAAAGGAAACTGAAAAAACTGCCTCACTTATGTTAAAATGTAATTGAGACTCTTCTATGGCAAAAGTTGTTCCATTACCGTTGCTAATAATAGGTGTGAAATAGTATAGGAAATCACTCTCAAAATCATTTGGGAGCTCTTTTCCTTTTAAAAAAAAAAAAAACTATTTTAAAAAGTGTAAAAATAATAAATGTCCAGAGTAGAATCTTGGAACATTTTGAAATGCAAAAGAAAAAAGTATATGTAATCTCACTGTCCTCAGATACTCTTAATATATTGATTTATGTCCTTATCTTTTTCCATATATACATTTTTCTTTAGCAAAATGGTTTATTTTATGCATACTATTTTGTAGCAAGATTGTTTTATCTGAGAACTATATTGTGAAGGTTTTCCCATACCAATACGTATTATTCTACAGTGTGTTTTTTTCATGACCTCACAGTACTGTATTGTTGCATTAATTAGTCATATGTTACTCAACTAGACCTCTATAATAAGGACTTCTAATTTTTTGATAGTTTTCATTTAAACTGAAGATAACCAAAGCCTTTGTGTATTTGTTTACAAAGAAATAAATTGTAGTAGTTAATTAATTTGACTGTAATTGCCAAACATCCCATTTTTCTACTATAACAATATTGGCACAAAAACTTGGTGAATTATAATATCAGTGTTAAGATTAATCCAGTTAGATCTTAGAAAACCAAAAAACAAACACAAAAATCAGGAATATCAAATAACTCAGGAATAAATCGTTAAAAATAATTACACATTGGTCAGGTGCGGTGGCTCAAGCCTGCAATTCTAGCACTTTGGGAGGCCCATGTGGATGGATCACCTGAGGTCAGGAGTTTAGGATCAGCCTGACTAACATGGTGAAACCCCATCTGTACTAAAAATACAAAATTAGCCCGGCATGGTGGCACATGCCTGTAATCCTAGCTACCTGGGAGACTGAGGCAGGAGAATTGCTTGAGTCCGGGAAGCAGAGGTTGCAGTGAGCCGAGATTATGCCATTGCGCTCCAGCCTGTGCAACAAGAGCGAAACGCTGTCTCAAAAATAATAATAATAATAATTACGTATTTGGGATTTCAGAGTACGGCAGGCACAACAGCTTACTAGAAAGCAGTTCTCCAAACTACAGAGTTAGATAGGTTAAGGTTGTTAATCAGTGGGCCAGTTAGTTACGACCTGAGAGGGTAAAGGATCCCTTCCTATTCCAGTGTTTTGGAAGCCATATGGCAGGATGAGTTGTGTTATAACCTACACATTCTCATGTTAGCTGAAGAGACTATCCCTGAGTAATTAAAGGCACTCAGGATTTGTCAAGCCCTTGCATGCGTGTTTAATGGGTGGATAGCCTGGTTGCTCAGAAGCTGTTGGCTTTAGAAATGGAAAGGTTGACTTAAGCTAAAGGAAGGAGAAATACAGCAGAGGCAGTTATTCAAGGAAAAAACACATGTACTGAATTAGGAGAAGTAATGTGGGAAATAATATCTGAGGCAGACTGAGATCTTGAAAGATCTGAAAAGGAGTTGTTTAGTTAATGTATTTCAAATAAGCTCCCCTGTTTGCAAATTTCATAATTAAATGTTTCTCATAATGAGTTTACAACTGAAATGTGTCTGGGAAGCTGGCCAGGGCTTTTAAGGAGCTGGCCAGAAGGCATTTACTTCCCTTGGGTCAGAGGTGACTCATTGTAATCTGTGCCATTCTATACATTAGACTTAGGTCAGTGATCCCCAACCTTTTGGCACCAGGGACTGGTTTCATGGAAGGCAATTTTTCCACAGACCTGGGTAGTGGAGGTGGTGATGGTGATGGATGGTTTTGGGATGAAACGATTTCACCTTAGATCATCAGGCATTAATTACATTCTCATGAGGAGTGTGCAACCTGGATCCTTTGTATGTGCAGTTCATAATAGGGTTTGTGCTCCTATGAGAATCTAATGCCACCAATGATCAGATGGGAGGCAGAGCTCAGGCGGTATTGCTCACTGGCTCACCACTCACCTTGTGCTGTGCAGTCAGGTTCCTAACAGGCCAGGGACTGGTACGGACCCGAAACCCAGGGATGGGGGACCCTTGACCTAGATTCTTAAAATAATGCTGTCCTTAACATTAAACATTTCCAAAAATTCTTATTTGACTTACCTGTTGGCTATGTTTAAAAGGATTTTCTAAGGTAACTGTCAAAGACTGGCAAAATTTAATAGATCTGAGAGTACAGGCTAAATTAATTTAAAAAAAATGTATATATATATAGGTGAAATAGATGGAGTAGTTTATTATACATGATTCCATCTTGAAAATGGCATCAGTGGGGCAGCAATTAAAGTTTTCTAAGTTTGAAATTGCATCGATTTGGGTTTATTCAGAATGTGTGGGCTATATGTAGAAAAATACAGTCTCAGCCAGAGTACAGGAACTGCTTCTGTGAATGCTCTTCATTTTAGTCAACTGCATTCCTTAAGTAGCCAGTTGTCCTTTGGTTTTCATTCTTCATTGCCATAGCAGTGACATCAGATGCAGCTGGAACTGAAAGTAGAAGGATTATGTTAATTAATTCTAGTGAAACAAAAACTGCCTCAAATAATTAATGGAATAATAGTCTCATTAAAAGATTTTAGAGTTTTTTTGTGCTCTTTTTTTTTTCCTCCAAGAGATTAGAGAAGGAGAATGGCACAGATTGTTCGCCAGAGATCTTTTTAAGCTATTGATTCATTTTACAATCCTCATCTGATGCCTCTGATTTCAATATGAATCCTTCAGGCATTGTAGTGATTTTCTCTTATTTCCTCTTGAGGCTGCTCTCTCTTTGCCTTTGGTGACAGTTTTCAAGAGAGCAGTGCCTGAACTTTGGCTTGTTGGAATCTAAAAATGGCCTCTATTTTATTGTCTTATTTATAGCTGTCATACTTTAGTTTAAATACAGTTGCCCTAGCAAGCAAACATTTGTGTGTTACAAGTATGGTGGCAAATACCAGATAGGGTTGCCTGCTAGCAACCTATTGGAGGGAGATTATTGGAGGGAGGAATTATTGGAGAGAGAGAATAGGTTTGTATGTTCCCATCACTGTTTCCTTCAGCTATTCATGCTATTTGACATGCTATCTGTCAGCTGACCATGCTGTCGTGGAGTTTTGTTGTTTTTCTTTTCTTCCAAGTAGTTAGAGATACATTATTAAACAGAGATTAGCCAGAGTTGGGGGAAAACAGGTGGAGAGACAAGTAGGAAGATCCTTTCTTATATATGATCATCTTGGTTTTCCAACCCAATATGAGGACACTGCCTTTGAGCAAATTAAAAGAGTTTAATCTGGCCAGGTGCTATGGCTCATGCCTGTAATCCCAGCACTTTGGGAAGCTGAGGCAGGTGGATTGCTTGAGCCCAGGAGTTTGATTCCAGCCAGGGCAACATGGTGAGACCCCATCTCTACAAAAAATTGAAAAATTAGCTGCGTATGATGGCACATGCCTATAGTCCTAGCTACTCTGGAGGCTGAGGTGGGAGGGTCACTTGAGCCAGAGAGGTTGAGGCTGCATTGAGCCATGATCAAACCACTGCACTCCAGCCTGGGTGACAGAGCAAGACAGTCTCAAAAAAAAAAGTACGAAAAAAGCTTAATCCACTTCTAATTTTAATAATACATGAGAAGAGAATATGAGGAAAATTAAGGTATAACATATGGTTTATGGTTTTTTTTGGTAGATAAGATATGGATTTCATTGTATTGTTGAAAATATACAAGGATCCTATGTGTGTTCGGGAGCTAAATTTCTAGGAGCATAGGAATAAAGATGTAAAGAAAAAGGAAAGCATAAAACCTAAAAATAAAAAGCTAAGTACAGTACTTTGAGACTAGAGATTTGGGTGTAATTAGCCACATGTGTGTTCCCAGCTATGTGTGGCGTAAACAAGGTTACTATCTTGGGAAGGGGAATAATAGCCCAATAATTCAGGGAACCAATGGTATGCCTACAAGTAATCTTGGCCAATGTGCCATGGAGGTAGCAAACTCACAGTAGATGAAACAGAGGAGGGATTTAGAACACATAGGATTAATATAGATATATATTTATGTTTCTACTTTTGTTTTTTGTACATTGTGTGTTGTGATGCCTTTTTTTGGTGGTTTGTTTTGTCAGCTTAGTTCTACTTTTTTTTTCTTTTTTTTTTGAGACGGAGTTTCACTCATGTTACCCAGGCTGGAGTGCCATGGCGCGATCTCGGCTCACCGCAACCTCCGCCTGGGTTCAGGCAATTCTCCTGCCTCAGCCTCCTGAGTAGCTGGGATTACAGGCACACACCACCATGCCCAGCTAATTTTTTGTATTTTTAGTAGAGACGGTGTTTCACCATGTTGGCCAGGATGGTCTCGATCTCTTGACCTCGTGATCCACCCGTCTCGGCCTCCCAAAGTGCTGGGATTACAGGCTTGAGCCACCGCGCCCGGCCTACTTTTTTTTTCTTATAAAACCCTAACAACGTTAGTTGTAATTTATATCAAAGCTTTTGAAAAACTAGCTACACAATCCATTTGGATTATCCGATTCTATGTTTTTGAAAGACGTGATTGAAACAGCTTTGCCACTTTAGGACTTGCGTGAACCAGAAATACTATGGAAGGAAAGTCGAGAAAGACAGTTTGCAATTTATGAACAAGAGTTAAACTTTATAAATTTGGATGATTAAATAATAAATACATAAAATGAATAAGAAACACCAAAGAGAACAAATAAAATCATAAACAGTAATAGAATATGGTGAAGGGCATGATCTCTAGAGTTAGGTTGAGCTTCTCCCTGTGTGACCATAAGCACGTTAGTGAATGTACTTACCTCATAGGCCAGTTGAGGGATTAGATACATACATATAGATGTAAAGCAGTACTTGGCATATCATAATAGAGTCCATTAATGTTAACT